AGATTTTTTGAAGACGTTTTTGGCGGCATCACTCTACATAAAGCAGAAAGTGTGCGCTGAAAAACGTGATCGCTTGATCAAAGTTTTCCAGGGCCTTAAAACAACTTTTTGGTCCATTTTTCCAAAAAAAATGATCAATATACCAATAGGGTCTTTTCACAATAGGGTCTTTACACTGATCTTGGAGAGCTGAGAAAATCACTTAGATCAAACCTTAATTGAATTGTTCGATAAAAATTTTTTTAAGGTCCGCATCCTCCTTCCCTCAAAAAAACCTTAGATACGCCCTTTTATATGTGGACTAAGTTTTTCAGACATCTCAAATAAAGTTTCAACCTTTCGTCCAAGCGGAATCGTTTTTTTGAAATTCGTTTAATTAAAAAAATTCTGGTTGGAAAAAAGCTATTAATGTTCCATATTTCAAAAAAAATTACAGAACGTTTGTTTTTGGGGTGTTTTTTCTCCAGACAGTTTTTCTGCTAATTTTAGCTCCATTTTTAAGCTAATTTTCAGATAATGTTGATTTTAAAAGCTCAGATACAATTTGTATCAACTTTGGTCATTTTTTGCGAGAGTGTTTAATTTTTTTTCTAGTTATGAAGGTTTCAAATTTGCCTGGTTGGCCTAGTGTGGATAATTATTGCGCAAGAAAAATTCGCGCTAGTGAGGCGTAAGCGGCAATTTAATCCGGCAGAAGGGTCCCAACTTGAAACTAGGCATGCTAGGTGTTCTAGTCAAAATGTTATTAAATAGCGTCTAGAAGATAATATTCTATTTTTCCTTTTTTCAATTTCTTAATTATTAAATCAAACCCTATTTCAAAGATGATACTCTGATGCGAACAGTTTTGTCTATTTGTGTTTCATGTACTGTTTGGAATAATTAGGTTGCTCGATTCACAATGAAATAAACTTATGTCCTCATTGAAACGCGGCTTAATGTGCACTGACAAATTTAGACTAGAAATAGAGCACAGTAGAGCGCACAGTAGTTTTTTCAATCTGATCAAATTGGCAAACTCCATTAGGTTTACATAAACGGTTGCTGGTGAAATCAAAAAAATGCCCCCCGAAATCTAATGAATCATCCGTAGAATGATTTAAAGTTAGTGTTTGCGTTACTTGTTTTTTCAAAGTTCTAGAAAAATGTTCAAAACTTTTTCTGTTGATACAAGATATACCCTTAGGCATCTGAGACTTGATACCTAACAATATCTAGGTTCAGAGCTCCTGATCAAGATGTTCCTGCTGAGATTGAATGAATACTTCGAACAATTTTTTTTACTATCAAACATTTTTCACCGATTTTTCATAATTGTTTTTTGCTTTGATCGTTGAATTTGGTTTTTTTCTAAGGCAATTTTCAAAGAAATTGGTTTGTTTTGTGCTACTTGTTTAATTAATAGAAGCAAAAACTTATCCTCATATTATAATATGAAAAACAATTTGCACTCTATCTGATTTCAAATATTGATTCCAAGAAATCGATATCTGTAAGAACAAGATTTTCTCAACCAATTTCTTCAGAGCAGAACTTTTTTCAGGTAAGTTTCACATTTATGAAAATAATTTGACTTCCATTTCGAGTTTTCTAAATTTCACTCAATATTAAGCAAATCAAAACCAAAAAAATTTGAAAATATTAGATTTTCCGTTGTTTGTGATTCAATCAACTGCGTACGTTGATTCAACTGTCCTCAATTTTTGTTTTGATTTTTTTCTATTTAAACATTTAAACGAGCCCAGTTAAAACTATTTTTTTTTCCTTGGTTTTCGAAGTTTAGATTATGTATATTGATCAGTTTTACCCAATTCAAATATTAAGGGAGCCCATATGCAAAATCCAACTGACTGTTTATTAGAAGGTTGTGTTTTTCCTTCAGAACTTTGATGATGGAAAAATAGTTAGTGAGAACGATCAAAAATTATACCACATTAAAATTTTTTTAAACACTAGCTACTGAGTTCAAAAACCGGTTCAGTCCAATTATTGTTATTTTTTCTGAGTTTTTTTATATCAATTTATCTGTAAAGCTCAGCTCAAAAGCGTAATTCATTTAGACATTTATCATGCCAATTTAAATTGAGACAAGACGGACCGGCTTAATTGCGTGCGTACCGCTTAGCAATGCGGCTACGGAGCTGATTTAAATTATCCTGACAAAGCGCATTTAACTTGAAAATTAAAAAACGCATTTTTTTTTTCAAATTGGGTTGATTTTGGTTTAGAAATAATAGAGCCAAAACTTGCCCAACATTTTCTTAAATGACCCAAATTGTTTTGCAAACTGGGGGCCTAAAATTTTACACCAAAAATGTTTCATTTGGATTTTTTTGATCAATCATAAATTATGCCGAAACTACACAATCGATCGCTGATATGATTATATCAAAGTGAGCTTATTATGTAGTCCAATAAAAAGGGATATTTCAAAAAAAATTGATCACTTTTGGTTTTGTAGTCATTCACAAATTACGCCATAATTACTCAATCGATCAATGACATAATTTTAACAAAATGAGCCTCTTATGTAGCCCAATAAAATTTCCAGAGGGGGTATACAATCCAAAGTGTAGTATCTTGAGAACTTGAAGTTTGATTTTTTTTGTTTTTTTTTGTGTTTTTTTTCTAGATTTTTCTAATTTAAAACGGCGGAGCAATGTCAAGTCTCCAGATGGTAAAAAAAGCATTGGCAAGTATCCAGAAGGTGATTCGGTTTTGTTTCCAGATTGGTAAACGGATAGCCAAAAATATCAATTTTATATTATATTGATATTTTTCGCTGAAACTGATGGGGAGAGCAAATTTGGTTTTTTATCTCCCAGTGCGAATTCGTAAAGCAAAAATATTCACACTGGAATTTAATAACAACGAGTAAAAAAGTTCAATTCTAACGAAAGAAAAGAAAAACTATGCAAATTAATTGTAGAACTTACATTTGAATTTTTATTTGAAATTGGTTGTTGATGATTGAATGAAAAAATTGGAAAAAAATTTTTAGTTTCGCAAAATTTACGAACAATCAGAAACAAAATTTATTTTAACTACCAAATTGGAAATGATGAGCTATTAGAATTTTTAAACAGTATATGATGCTTACTTTTTGTTAAGCAAAATTGGAATAAACTATTTCGATGAAACAATAATGAAAAAGCTTTTTTATTTTTGGTAACTTTTTTCTATGAAATAATTGAAATATGTCGAACCAATTATTACCCTGCTCCTTATCTGTTGTTGGTTAAAAAAGAAAGGTTGCGGGAGCAAAAAATGGTCATACTCAGCTGGTCATTGTTCGGAAAAAAAGCAGAGATAGTGGTAGCTATGACGGCTTGTTGCTATTCGGTTTAGAATTTACCACTTTAATTATTATTTTTTTTATTTTAAAATTTTTTCAAGGAAAAATAGCCTTACTGAAATTTTTTTGAAATACGCAAATTTGTCTGAATTTTAGAATCAAGCTGTTTTATGATGTTTTTCCTCAAAATCAGGCACGCTGAAATTTTCAGATGAATTCAAAATTAGAAATCACATTGGAGTCCTTTTAAGCGTGATTCGATGTAAATTTAAAAACTTTGATTGCAAAATTCTAAGAAAAAAATTGATCAGAAAAAATTTTAATCCAAATTACAATGAAAAAGCAAGTAG